TATCCCAAATATTATCATGAACTCTGAGGGTAAATAAAAATGTATTGTTTACATTCACACTTAATAAAGAATATTAATATACATTTTTTGGTATTGATATATTGAGATTATTAGTATTGGATTCCATTACATCATGGATTGTTTAATGATTAATTGCAAATTTCTGAACCACAATATGAATTGAAAATTGCAAAGCTGAAAATAAATTACCTGCAGGTTAAGTTGTATCATCTAAATATAGACTTTATTTAGAAAAGAAAGGTGATGTCTATGTAGTATGTGGAAATGATGGTATGACTGTTCATACAAAAATTAACATGGTTATACTCAATCTATAATATACTTAATGACGTGACTAATATGGAAACCAAAATGGTACTAAGGACGTGGAGGGGGATATATATAAATAAATAGAAAGTAAAAACTTGCATTTCATTTCTGTCATGCACTTCACATAACACACTTCTGCTGAAAAGCAAGGCTCAAACACACTGGCTGAGATGTCTCATTATTCTCATTACCAATGGAATGTAAAACAAAAAATACGCAATCATCAGGGCTAAAGAACACGGTAATCAGACTGCCACATTACTTCAAACCTTAACATGCAAACTCTGTGGTATATGCGTTCCTCCTTCACAAAATGTGTAAAAATTCAACCCTGGATATGATGTTCACAGTGTAACATAACATGACAAAGAGTCCAAAATCACAACCCTGCCTTAAGTGTTAACAGTGTAACATAACATGATGCTCTCTTACGTGATGACGAGCTCGCTGAACTGCTCAAACCTAAAATGCCAAATTGAATTTAGTTTTTGATGTCTCCTGATGAATTTTGGATTAGTGGGAAAAGGGATAGATGTTGAGGAACTTCTTTTTATCAAAAACTCTAACCTAATGAGTAGTGACAGACAAGGTCATCAGTTTTTCTATACCACAAGTGTGGACAAGAAAAAAAGAAATATGTGAAGTCTTTACCATCTTTTTTTCATTGTGGTTAAATTGTTACATCTATATTTTTCTTAAATCTATCTATTCATTGCCATTAGATAAAATTTTGAAACATTCAGCATAAGTGCACATGTTGCTTGTATTTAGTATCTATGCACATGGGCATGTGTATGTATTTGAATACTTATTTGTAAATGTTAATGGACGTAATGTAAATGTAAATGTAAATGTAAATATGTGTGTGTGTGTGTGTGTGTGTGTGTGTGTGTGAAAAATTTATTATGATGAAACATACAATATGCAAGTAACATTATCAGATAATGTCTTAATATCATATGATTCAAAATCATATCTAATGACAGTGTAGCACATGTATGTGTGTACAACCCATACAGTAATCTTTACACAGGCAATTTGTAAATGTTTTCTGTAAAGCAAAAATCTTAAGCTAGTGTGTGTATATACTATGTAACTGTTTGCACACACCAACATACACATTATCACACCCAGTAAAACCTCATTGTTATCATCAAGAGCTTGAGATGAACAACAGGAATAAATCATATTAATTTCAAATGAAACTGAAATAACATTTGAAATTCCGTCTGGATTTCAGCTGAATAAACCTAGTATAGATTACTTCACACTGTCGAAATGATCTAGTAAATAATTCTATTGCCTATCTATAACCTCAGTTACAACTAACACCTGTTAACAACACAAGAGGTAATAAGTTCTATTCTTTTTAAAATCTATCCAATTTACCTATCACTTCATTAATGCCAGACACTTCTGTTATCAACTGGGTGTGCAGGGTTGCAGTATGTTGTTATGGTCTGTATATAACAATGAGGCTCTACTACACATAAGAGTAATTGCTAACTGCATGTGTCTGTGGCAAAACTAATCTGGAGGTAGACAAGGGAGAGGCAAAATAGGCTCTGATTGCCGATAACTACTCTGTAAAAGCCTTGACAAATAAGACATTATTGATTGCCAATATTCTATTTCATCTCCATGCTGAAAAAATACAAATGTAAAAATGAAACTTGGCAGGCATCATAGCTTCACTCAGGGAAAGACCTTTACGACAGACTTCTGCAAAACGCATACCTTAAGCAACACAAAATATCAGTAGACAAACGGTACTTACATTGCGATGCACATCTGAGGTCACTGGAGGTTAATCCTGTAGCAATCTCAGGTCCTGCTTCGCTATGGTTCACCTCTACCTCCAAATCAGAGCGCGTTGGCATTACAATCCCAGAATCTTCATCAACACTTAAAGTATCCTAAATCAACAAAAGAGAAAAGATTTTCTTTAGTGTTCTCCTCCAACTTCTTTAATTCAACATTTTTAAATGCTTTGTTGGAGTAGATGTAAATGCATGAACCTCATTTCTATAATAAGGATTAAAATATAGATACAGATGGAGGCTAAAAAGGCTTCCTATATAGTCATAAAAGTAATGTAGTCACTCCTAGTTATTCAACAAGTCACACAAATAACACTCAAAACAGTAGTAGGGGTACCATCAGTTCATCTTTTAACATACCTGTCGATCTTCTCCCAACACCTCCTCTCTTCTTAATGCTCTTCTGGGCTTGAAAGGATCCATCATCTCTGAAGAATCTGCACTCTCTGCACCACACACAGCACCTCTCTTCCCTAAGGGAGGAGATCTTGGTAACCTTGAACTCTTCATGAATGGATTAACACTGTCATCAAGGTGTGCTCCACTGTAGTGTGCTGCCTTGCTAGGATCCATGTCGGAAGCAGAACTTGTACACTTTACAGAATTACTGTCATCCGAATCTGGCAATCCAGAGTCACAAGAGCAGTTCATAAACTCCTCAGCAAGACGGCTTGCTTCATTGCCAAGTAACTGTGCAAACTCTAAACTGTCAAGCTGGCCTATTCTTCCAATGGAAGGAACTTTTGGAAGATTTGCTTCTTCAAAAACTACAAATTCACTTTCTGTTTTTGTTTCTTGTTTTACTGATGTCTTTCCTACTTCCTCTTCAACTTCTTCAGACACTCCAACTACTGTAGTTTCTTCTGTTTTACTGGCTGAATCTAATCTATCACAAGTAGTATCTGCAGATGGCAAATGTTCTTCTTTTGGGGGCAGAGTTCCTTTATCCACAGGTGGATCTGCTTCCACAACAAGAGGTTTAACCTCAACAACCTGGGGCTTTACAACTGCAACCTGAGGCTTAACTTCTGCAATTTTGGCTTTGTTTTCAACCTGGACTTCTTCTGTTGCAACCTGGAGGTTCTCCTTTTCCTTTGCAACCTGGGTCTTTTCTTCCAAAACTTGAGATTTTACATCCAAAGTCTTTTCTTCCGAAGTTTGAGGTTTAACTTTTTCTAAACTCTGGGGCTTTTCTTCAGTGACAGGAACTGAAGTATTTTCCTTTACAGAGAGAGAACTGACTTCTGATAATTTGGGCTCTTCTTCTGCTGGCTGATCTTCAACATCAATTTCACTTTTTGACTCTGCCTTTTCAGCTAATACTTCCTTATTCTGCTTCTCACTTGATGCATTTATTGAGTTGCTATCACTACCATCTGCATCTAATCTTTTAGGTTGTTGGTCTGGACTTTTTTCTTTTACCTCAGTAGCTTTAACTGCTTCTTTTTCTAACAATGGCACAGGAGTTTTAGCGTCTTCAGGCTTGTTGCTAGGTGCGTCAAGATTCTGAGCAGCTGGTAACGATTTGCTTTCAAAACCTGATCTTGTCTTGAAGGGGTCAAAGTTAGGATCATCAAGAAAATCAAGGTTATACCCCTTACTTGGTACTGCAGGGAGTTCCTCCTGGTTTTCAGCCTCTACAGTTGGAGTCGGAGTGGCTTGACTTGTTTCCTTTTTCGAGGAGTCTACCTCATCTGCTGGTTTCTTGGATCCTTTCTTTATCACTGAGAATCCTTTCTTGGCAGGAGACTTCTTAGGAGTGACAACTTTTGCTTTTGGCTTGATGTCCTCTTCTTTATCAGCTGGTACTACAAATCCTTCCTTTGGAGGAGAGTTTGATACTGAAGTTTTTGTTGTAAAAGGATTGAAATTTGGGTCTTCTAAATTATCTAAAAAGTCTAAGTTGTAGCCTTTTGAAGGTGGTATTGGCAAATCTTCTTCTGGTTCTGATTTTACTTCTGTCTCAGTGATATTATTATTGATAACAGTATTGTTGTTCTTTTCAACTGACTTCTTTACCCTAGGCTTTGGCGGTGGTCTCTTGCCAAGATTCTTAGGGGGTTTACGTATAGTTTTAGGCGCGTCGTCAATGGATATTTCTAGAAGCTGCCCCTGTTTATCAGCTTTTTCCTCCTCCTTCTCCTCTGATGGTGCAACTATTGCTGGCTCTTCACTAGAGGTGACTTCTTTATATTTCTGTTTGTTGCTGTGTGTTCCTTCTCTGATTTCTCTACCTCTTCTGTCTTTCCTTCTTTTGTCATTTCTTTGTTTTTTCTTTGCTATTCAGCTTCTGCGTTAGGTTGGTGGAGTGTTTCTGACAACAGTCTTTGTAGCAAAAGGGTTGAAATTTGGATCTTCTAAATTATCAAGAAAATCAAGGTTGTATGATTTCTTTGGAGGAATTGGAATATCCTCTGTATTTTCAGCTCTTTCTGGCAGTGGAAAAGGGCTTGAATTTCTTTCTGCTTTCTCTGTGTTTTCTGAGTTAGTCTCGACCTTCACACCCTTTTCATTCACTGGCTCACTAATAAGGTTTGAATTATTTTGGTTGTCAGTTACTGGACAACTGACATGAAGATTATCAGTAATTTCCTTATTGCAGTTATCATCACCATTACAAATATTTTCCTTTTCTGTAATTCTGTGTTGAGAGTTTTCAGTTGTAGTAGAGAGTTTAGCATGTACTTCACTTAAATTGCCATTTGTTTCAACTGTCTGAGTAGTGATTATACGTGTTTCACCTTTTACAGGTTCAGTGACATCTGTCTTACTAGCAGCATCTGATAGAACTTGAATAGATTCTTCAATAATTTCACTCTTAGTTACAGTTACCAAAGAGTCACTGATAGT